GTGCAATGAAACAACACAGGGGAAACCTGGTGAACGCGCTATTTATAAAGGATGCGCGCCAAAGCCTGTGGTGGCCTCCTCCTTTCACTGATAAGGGAAGAGAAGGGGAGGGACAGAACCAGCATTTGACGGGGAGCCCACTCCATGCCAGGGGCCCTCCAGATGGTTCCCAGGCACTGTTTGCCATAACTTCCTGAGGCACTGACAAAAATTGGGGTGAAGATAATTTAGTTAAACAAACTGGGTCAGTATCATGACCATGGTCAGAATACGAGGTGGCTCTAAAGGAATATCTACAATCAGGCTTTGGTGATTTTCTCAGACTCCAGAGGATAGTTTCATAAGGATTTTAGGATCTTTAAGTACTTTTGTCTGTCTTTCATATCATTGTAAGAGCTTTTTTAGTCTGTACTTCTTTATTTCCAATTCATTTAAATCAATTCTGCCATCTCTGTGCTTTTTGCACTAGCAAAAATAATTGTAAATGGCCCTGTGCTAAACATATTAATTTACTATGGTTCCCTCATAATACAATGGAGGGCCTGGAATATTATGCAGTGATGTTGCAAACATGTACCTATTGAAATGGATATATATATGCTCACATTGTAACATTAAGCAAAAAAGCAGGCTCCATAACTGCAGGTATGGCATAATCTTGCTTTTGTAAAAAGCAAAAATCAAAATGAAACAAAAAATAATAATTATACACAGGCATAGAAAAGACCACGGAAGGATAGACACCATGGAGTTAACAGTGGTTAACTCTGGGCAGGTAGAAACATAAGTGTTCTGTTCTTTATGTTCTTCTTTTTCCTGTTTTGTATTTTTATTTTCTATAATAATTACACATTGATTTTATGTTAAAATGAACAGTTAAAGCACCTTACACAATAAAGGCACTAATTTGGAGCTCAGGGATTTTCAGGTGTTTTTGCTTCTACTTTCCTATTTTTAAAAATGTCAGATTCATTTCAACTGATTATTCTTGTTTTTTTTTTAACTTTGTGAATTGGTCAGAAAATGAATTATTTTCAATCACTTTATATTTTTACAAATTCTAGGCATAGTATATAAGGCATGAGATAAGGCCTGAAATAATATGATAACCTGAAGTCATTAGAAATAATCAAGATGTATTATTCCTTCTATTCAGTATATTGGAAAAACAAATAAGCCTATAAACCATGCCCAGATTATCACTACATAGAAAACTGGTGACTGGGACCATTCACTTCTGAATAATATGTTGTACCACCAACAGATTTTTACCTCAGCCAAACTGTTGTCAATCAAATTACCTACTATCCTCTTGGAGGGCATTTCAGCCCCATTTTCTTCATGAGGAAATGGAGGCACAAACAGTGAAATCACTGGCCTGAGGGCACACAGCTAGCAAATGACAGCACTGGAAATAAATTACAGGGGTATCTGATTTAAATTTTGAATACCTCGAAGCCCGGTTTTCCTAGGCCTTTGTGGGGTTGCCACTGTAACCTCAGCCTGGAGAGCAGTCCTTGGAGTTGTTTGGTGTCTTCATGGCAGGAAACAGGGATAAGGAGGTAAACCAAGCAATCCATGAGGATTGGCAGCCAGGCATCATTTCCATCCGCCCGGCTCACTAACTGGCAGCCTTTTCCAGGCAGCCAGATTGAGGCACCCTGTCACAGAGTGGGGTTGTCTCACTGTGGAGACAAGTGGGGTTGGGCACTGAATGGCCCCAGGAGATCTTTCTGGAGTACCTAAGGACAAGCTGGATGGGGCCAACGGGCGGGCCAAAATCAACATCCACAGAGCATCCAAGCTCTTCCAGTGCAGGGTGGCTTGTGTTCCCCTAAACTGCTGGCATGTCTCTGCTCAGATTATTTGATGCCAGAGCCCAACATGCTAATTTCCCCGTGACAAGTTTTTCTCCCATCTGCCCGTAAGAGGAGGGAGCCCTGGAGTCAGGGCCCTTCTGCATGGGCACGGCTCCATGGTGTGACCAGCTGACCTCTTCATGGCAGAACATCAAGAGGCTGGGGGACCCAGGTGTGTGCCGAGTCTCCTGCCAGTGAGCTCAGGACTGAATGCAATGCAGCTACTGTTCCCTTATCTCCTCTGCACGCCACTCCACCAAAATTGGAAATTTTGGAAGATGGTCCCAGTATTTGTTTTTGCATTTCCTCTTTTCGTTTCTTTTAAGAGGACATCAAAGAGCCATTGATTCCTCCTCCCTGCAGGTTAGCCAGGAGCGCAGATCCATCGTGTTGGTGACAGTATGGCACTGCAGTGAGGGCTAAAGAAAGACCTTGGAGGCCGGGATGTTCAAATCCTAGGGCCATCTCTTACTAGCTCCAGAACCTTGGGAGAGTCACTTGACTTCCTGGGACTGCACAGATAGGGTTGTTCAAAAGATTAAATAGAGACCATAGTCATGGCATTAAATAGTAGAAAGAATCTCTTCGTCACATGCAGGCTGTCATTTCTGCCCCATCTATTTCAGTCAAGGTCTCCTCCACAAAGAGGGCTGCTCTGCTTCTGGTCACTTGGAGGTCCAGGAAGATAGCATTTGAAAAGCACCAAGCACACAGTAGGGACTTAATAAATTCCACATCCCTATTTCTCACTTTTTAGCACAGAGGGTAGCTATGAGAACCCCTTCCCATGTAAAATCTCATGTTTCCAAAATGGGACTTTAGTCCATTTGCTATTTCTTCTAGAAAATTCTGTTGTTCTTACTTGAGTTGATGCTGTGGTTTACCTTTCACCCCAGAGGAAAAAACATCTAGGTCATTAATTGATTTGTGGATAGCATTTATCTACTCAAGTCTGTCACTGAAGTGTTATGCCTTTGGAAATTTTTATTCTCCTTTTAAGGATCTGGGTGTTTTCCAAATTTTGTGAGTGTTTATAACTTATAATCAAATTAAAACATCATTATTTCAAAAGAATAACTGTGGTCCTCTAATGAGCTTTGGGGCCATTTTTTGCCATGTCTGCCTTGCTAGCAGGTGTGGAAAATAGGGAGGGGGGCATGGAGAACCACCTTCAGTCTGGGCATGTGATGGCTCTACACACCAGCGACCACACTTGAATCATGTAGAAAGATATGGCCAAGGTTGGGGACATGGGTGTCTTTCTGAGCAGAACTGAAATCAGAATAAGCCCTGGCCTCCTTTCCTTGGTCCACAACAGAATGAGATAAATAGATGGTGAGAAGATTGGCAATCAGATCACATGGCATTTCCAGAGAGAAGGTGTGAGAACCAGTCCACAACAGTCACAGAACAGGTCGTTATCTCACTCTGAATGGTTGTAACAACTCCTTGGGCCACTGAAGGCCAGTGTAAGCACACCCCCTAGAGCCTAAAGGGACAGGGCTTGTGTGGGATGAGGGACTGTCTTGTCTCACTCATACCCAGAGATGGCAGGTGTTGGTGTGGGTGGGGACAGGAGCAGGTGGTTTGACCCCAGGTGCCCCAGACACTGGGCCAGGTGACTGGAGCATCTCTGGGAGAGGAGCAGGGCCCTCTTCTTACTCTGCTGTCCTTATCTCCTTACCCAGTGGACTCCTGGCTGTGCACAGACACAGATTTCCCATAGTAAGATGGGCGGCACCTGCTCGACTTTGCAGGTGGGAGAGTGAAGTGGAGAAGCTCAGAGCCGTGGAGGAACCAGGGCAGAGGGGGTTAAGTTGAGCTCTGATGTTTCAGTGAAACCACAGCTCCTCTCCACAGACACTGCCACTCTCATTATGTCTGTCAATCAGATCCAAGCAGCAGAACTTCCAAGTTCGCTCTCTGACTGACAAACTCTCTGTAAATGTTCAAAGACCTTCCTGGGCTCCGGAAGCCCAATTACCAGCACTCCGACTTGCCTCTGCAATTCTCTCCCTTAAAGCCTTTCAATTGTCATCTGTAAAATCCTTTACTGCCAGCACCTCAGTGGTTTCTGATGAGAGGGGCTGCAGCTGGAGCCACTGGGAGCCCCTCCTAACTCTCTTCTAGGCCAGAATGTAAGAAGCTTTCAAATGACCAGAAGTTACCTCCACCATCTACAGAGAGCAGAATTGCACTTGGGACAATGCTTAGGGGCTTTATTTTGGAAAAATCAACAAAATTAGAATAAACTGCCACTTTGCGTATGCCCTTATTCCCTTTGAGGCTCAGCTCAAGCTTCAGATATCTGGGAAGCCTTCCTTACCTCCCTACCCAATGTCCCCACAGCCCTATGTATGTGTCACTGGACTGTAAACCCCCCAAGAACAGAACCACAAGCAAATGCTTAGTCATCGTTAGCATACAAGGAGTGTTTGTTGAATGAATGACTTGGGAATTCTGGAACTCTAATAGCAGCAATTCCATTTATTTTCAGCATAGGTGAATGCATTTGCTGAGAATATCTTAAATGTCAAGTCTTGCCTGTCAATTTCATAATCCATTCTATGCATGCTGAATTGTTTTTAATCGGATTAAAGTCTCTGGGCAGGACAAAATGGGTCTGCTTTTTTGGGCTAACGTTTATTACTCATCTAGCTGGCAGTATGGATGGAACCTGAGTGCAGCTGATTTCATGAAAGCAGCCTCGGCATCAGTTCTAACACTTACTGATTCGACACGCTACAGGAGCACACGCGAGGCATGGCTAATCACAGATAATAAAGGATCCAGACTCCACACATGGCTGGCACTGGGACCTGGTTAAGGAGGCAGCCATTTCACCTGCTCTGGGCTGGCACCACTGCACCCATGGGAGCAGGGAGCAGCGTCACAGTGTCACAGCAGGAGCCTGGTTCCTCTTTCCAGTCTCCCCAGGACTGTTTTCTGGGCTCTCATAGCGCCATCTTACTCAATCTTTTGAGCAGCTGCTATGGTTCTAAACCTCGGGATGGATAGAGGGCTTGCCGAGAGCAGACTGCTCAAGTTAACCAGTGCCCCCGAGCCCACCCAAGCACGAGGTGCTTATGGCACAGCTGGTTGCCCAGTGGAACCAGGGCTGCAGAGCCCTGCCTCTTCTTGCTTATAAGTTGAGAAAGGTAACAACTGCCCCCAAAGTGATAGGAAGAGTAAGTAGAGAACAAAGCATACAGACTTTGCAACCTGTAATCCTGTCAGCCCTAAGGGGAGAGTATGTACTGAAAATACAAAACAGGAGTGGGCCCAGGAAATAGGGTCAAAGGCAATGGAAACATCCAGCTAGGACTTCCAGCTGGGAGTGTGTCAAAGCAAATCATCTGCAAAAGGCTTCCTCATCTTTTAGTAATCGTGATGCAAAGGGTCTGTGGGTAAAATTGCAATATTTCCAGAATCTCTCCCCTGGCCTTAGTGTGTCTCCATATCAATAGGTGTTTCCAAGGGGGATCGAGGAGATATCTGGATTGGAGAGGCTGGGTGGGGTCCCTTTTTGCAGCCAGGTCACGAGAGACATGAGTGAGCAGAAGTGGACAACTGCTTACAAACAAATGGGTTTCTTCCACTTTATTCCTCCCTTTGACTGATTTTGGTTCAAAGGTATTTTGCCCCAAGCTGGGAAAATATTTTCCCCCCTGAGTTACAGGGTCCCATCTGGCTTGCCCACCAAGTGCCTCTGCTTAAAGCATCCAGATGGCCCTTCTCTTTCCTTCCCCGCCCCTGTCCTTTGAGGGCAGCCAGGAACGTGATGATGACCCCACTGAGCAGGGCCCCCACTGTGGCCCATCTGCATCTGACCAGCTTTGGAAGCTTGCTCAGCTCCTCCTCCACTGAGAGGAGATACAGGCTCTCAGAAGAGCAGATTTTCAGGAAAGAAGGGCCTTCTGCAATTCCTCTCTTTAAAGATGAGAGGGATGAGTTTTAAATAGAAACTACAGCTGGCTCAATGCAGCACATCTGTCAGAGGCAGAGCAGGCCTGGAAGCCAGGTCCCCTGTCAAACCCGCATTGCTTCCCCTTTGTCCTGCATGGTGAAGGAGGTCACACAGGCTGGGCGCTTTGAAGCGGGGTAGAATTTCCTGCTTCCTTCTGGGCCTGGTCTATGCATGGTGCCTTCAGAGGCTTTCAGATCGTTGGGACTGTCACATCTCCATACTGGGCTCTTTGATTAGTTCAAACATTGGTACCAAGGGGATCCCTGGACACCACAAGTTCAGGTTATGAGGCTCTGAGCTGAAAACAATAGGAGGGGTTGGCATGCCACTACCTATAAGATCCCTTGCATGGAGGTTTGTGGCCACCAGGTGCTGCTGACACTCACATCTTGGTTGGACATATCCCAGTAGGGTCTCTCTCCAAATGACATGACTTCCCACATGACAATCCCATAGCTCCAGACGTCGCTGGCAGAAGTGAACTTGCGGTAGGCAATGGCCTCTGGAGCCGTCCATCTCACGGGGATCTTCCCTCCCTGGAAGAAGAAGAAGCTGGTCAGTCTGCATGTCAGATTTCTAGTTGAAGGCAGGTGAAATACACTGGGCACACACATCCTTTCCAGTCCCCGCCCTCACTTCTTGTGACTTAGGACAGCCAGGATGTCCTGTGTCCCATGGGAAACCTTGCTCCTGTGCCCACTTAGAGGAACTTGAGGGGCATCTGCGTGGCCTGTGTAGGTCTCCCACCATGTGTGTGGGCACACCAACGAGAGCCACAGCTGCCACTGATGCTGCGTCTGTCCCCCAGTTCCCTGTGTGCTGAATCAAACGTCACTGCTGTTGGGGTGGGAGGAGAGGTGGGTGTGGCTGTTGTAAGTGCACTGCAGCATGAAATTATGCCCTGTGTGACACTGGCCACACGAGCCGTGAGATGGAGGTCATGGTAGTGTTTGTGCCACTGTGAAGTCACTGGGTCAGGAGGAAGCCAAACAAGACAGGAAGAAAGTGACCCGCAGTGCCTCCCAGAGAGCCTCCTACTACAAGATCACACCATGCTGCCCCTGCCCCATTTTCCTAGGTTTCCACCTCTGGGGGGAGATTGTCCTCACTCTGCGGCCTGCAGATGGCCCCAGGCTGTGCTGGGCTTAAGGGCCCACGGCCGTGGAGGCCAGCATCCAGAGGCTGGACACACATGCCCCCAGGGCCTCAGCTCCTTTGTCCTTCTTGACTTCCACCCGGGCTCTCTGCGTGTCTGCCAGACCTCGGCCTGTTCGCTGACTGAGGGGTTGGATCGCCAACCGTTCATTCATTTGTTAGTGTGAGGCAAGGAGCCCTACTTTGTGCCTGGCCTGTTTTGAGGAGTGGGTGTCCCAGAGGTGAGTCAGCCAGGCGCCCCGCCCTCATGCTGCACAGGGAGTGGAGAGGCAGATGAGAAAACAACTTAAAATGTACTGTTAACAGGATGGGAAGTGGTGGGCATGAGGCTGAGGGGGACACGGGGTGCTCAGACTTCTGCAGGAGGCTCCCTAACAGAAGTTGAAGCAGGGAAGGTGGCAGGAGCTTTTGGGGGGGGGAGGGGCACAGGTTCTTGCAGGGTTAAGGGCACCTGCAGCCTTTGGCTGGGTTTGGGTGCCAGCACTGCCCCTTCCTACCTGTATGACCTGGGCCAAGTCACCCAACCTCTCTGTGCCTCAGATTCTCATTGGTAGAATGGGGGCAAGGATCACACATACAGAGTCAGGCTGTTTTGAGGGTTGAGTGGGTTACTATCCATAGAGTGCCTGGGACAGGGCCTGGCATAGAGGATAGGTGTCACCTATTATTCCACTATGCTCAGTCCAAGGTTAACTAGGCCAAGCACTGGAAGGAGGGAAGTCCAGGCAGAGAGGAGCGTGTACAGGTGCCAGGGGAGGAGAGGGGGTGGTAACTGCAGTGACCCAGGGTGGCTGAAGCATGACGTCGAAGGGCAGGGGTACACGAGCAGTGCGGTAAGCAGGGCCACTCTGCAGGGCCCTATGCCACTTGTAGGGGTGACGTGGGGGCACGCATCACATTTGCCTTCCACAGCTCATCATCCTCTAGAACAAATCCAATCCTCATTTTCAATTCTTCCCACCAAATACCAGGATTTCAACCCAACAGCCCATTGGCCACACTGGGGCCCTGCCTCCATAATATATGAAGCCCGCCGCTCCCAGGTCCCCTTCTCCTTAGCTGGAGGCTATTTTTATACTGACCGATCTCATGATCTGTTCAAACCACCAGAGCTACATGTTGGACTTTTGCAAAAATATCCTAAAAATGTGAAAGTGGTTAATCTGAGTGCAAGCAAAGAGAAAGAGCAAACTGCAAAGTGCATTTTTATCCAGTTTATCCTGGGAGGAATAAAGGTGATCTGGCCCGACCTCCCCAGGAACACACCTGGCTTTGGGCAGAGAAGACAGTCCTGATTTTCCCCGGGGATGATGGCAGGCTTTGTGGTGGGAGATGTTCTCAGCTCCAATGCCAGCAACTGACAAATGCCTGGAAGGCAGGCTCGGGCCTCAGTGGCAACAGGCTGCTTTATTCTCCCCATTCCACAGATCATGAAGTGAGCTACTGGCTTTATCTCTATGGTACCCTGGCTGGGGAAAGAGCTGGAAAATTCAGCTAGGGAACCAGGAGTTATCAAACACCTGGCAGGGTCGGGTAGCTCAGGGCCCCATGTTGCATCCACTGGGTGGATGCCATACCTCTGGGTCTGGCCCGGACCCCAAGAAGGTGCACTATGCTTCCTCAAAATACCTGGGCTAAGTGAGGTCAGAGAGAGAAGAGTGAATTAGCATGACTGTGTGTATATGTGTGTGTGAGAGGGAGAGAGACAGAAAAAGAGGGAGGGGAGGGGGTGGAGAGAATGAGACTGGGTGAGAACTTGCGGATGTGTGAGAGACAGAGGAAATTTGGCCGTGTAGGACCGTGAGTGAAAACAGTTAGGGCTTACTTTTGTGGGTGTGTATTTGTGTCACAGAGGAGGAGAGGGGCTGAAAGTGTGGTTCTTCTGGATTTCAAAGAGGCGATTTGGGAGTCTGAAGGTGTCCTCTCTGCCAAGTCTGGAGCGGACCCCAGGGGCTGCCAGTGACAGCTGCTGAGTTGCGCCTTCTTGCATGTAAAGTGACAGTGCCAGACCTGCTGGCGAGGCGCCTCAGCCCTCCTGCCACCTTGCGCTGTTGGGCCTCACTGAGCACAGAGTTTGGCCTGTCACCATCACCCACCTCCATCCCAGCAGGGACAGAGCCTTTCAGAAGAAGAGCCACCCTGGACAGGCAGGTGACAGCTTGTCACAACCGGCTTTCCCACTCCAAAAGAGCAAGGGATGCTGATCTCGGAGGCAGAACAAAATGGAAGCCAGAGTCAGAGGGATGGGTGCCTTCCTTCCTGGAAATTTTAAACTTCCTATCATCAGCATTGTGTTCCGACACTCAGAGGGAGTTGGGGTGATGGTTACCGAACTTGTCTTCAATTATGTGAAGGGAAATCTGCTAATTTAGAGGTTGGTGAGCAGCCCTGTGGTGTGGGACTAGAAGGGGAGGAAATGGGGTGGTGGTGTAGCAGGCAGGGCCTCTGCTCACTGGGGCTGGTCCTCCTGCCTCAGAAGAGGAGTCTGCACCCCAAGGCCCAAGGCCAGCACTTTCGTGTGACCACAGAGTGCTCTCAGAGTCCCCAGCACTCACCAGTGCAGGCCTGGGAAGGAGGGGTTTGCTCTGTGGGACGGGAAGGAGCATGAGGGAAGACTTCTCGGGGGCGTGAGGAACGGATGAGGCTCACAGGGAAGGAACCTGCATTCACATGGGCAGAGAGGGACTGACACTGGGCTTGAAGAGGTCGCTGTCGCCAACTTGAGGTTTCCCCAAGGCACCAGATGACTGTTTCCCTCAGGGATGCTGAGGGCACAGTCTGCTTTCTCCAAGGAACAGGTTTCCCCAGAAACGTTGCAGGGGGTCACTGTGGGGGCTTGGGGGAGGGAGAGGAGGGAGGGGAAAGAAACATCTCCCCACCATCTGGCCTCTGGGCTCCCCGCAAGACTTCTTGCACTGACCTTTGATGTAAGGCCTTGCACTGAATGGTTGTGCTGCTAAGAAATTCTTGAAAAGTCTGAAATTTACTGCCTCAGAACACTCATGTCTTCACTCTGGTATAAGATAAACTATAAAGTGTGTGCATACGTGTGTGTGTGTGTGTGTGTGTGTGTGTGTGT